AAACTTGCACATTTCAGAACTTGTTCAAAATGGGCAACTTCAGCAGTAACTGTTCTCAAAACGGAGCAAAATTTAAAGCCGCATTTTTTAACCCCCCAGTAAACTTGCACAATTCGAAACTTGTTCAAAATGGGCAACTTCAGCAGTAACTGTGTTCAAAACGGAGCAAAATTTAAAGGCGCATTTTTAACCCCCCAGTAAACTTGCACATTTCGGAACTTGTTCAAAATGGGCAACTTCAGCAGTAACTGTTCTCAGAAGTTCAAAACGGAGCAAAAAAAAGGCACTGTCAATCTGCCAAGGCCCAAGGGCCTTTCAGGTAAATTGAGCTAATGACTGGGGCAGTTTTAACCCCCCCTCGGTAAACTTGCACATTTAGGAACTCAGACCAATGCATGACATAGGCACTACTTTTTTCTTTTATTGCCTATGTCAAACTAAAAGTGTGCCACAGCCACAGTTTCCCCCAACAAAAGAGAAGAGAAGGCAAGCGCAGCTTTCCACCTTCTAAAGCAAAAGATACACCGAGTCTAGTCGATCTACGCATTTTGTGAGAAGTGCAGCAAGGGATGTCTTGCATCACATGGGAACTTCAAGCTCTTCCCCGTGAGAACAACTTCGCTACCAACTGGCCTACCTGTAGTAGCTCAGTTGGTACACCCCTGAAATTCCAGTGGAACCAGTCGGTACACCCCTGAAATTCCAGTGGAACCAGTCGGTAAACCCTGAAATTCCCATGGAACCAGTTGGTAAACCCCAGAAATTCCAGTGGAACCAGTTGGCAAACCCCTGAAATTCCAGTGGAACCAGTTCGTAAACCCCTGAAATTCCAGTGGAACCAGTTGGTACACCCCTGAAATTCCAATTGAACCAGATGAGTGAAACAGAACTCTGATTTTACATGGGCAAGCAACTCCCGGGACTCTCCCTTGCGGGGTCTGACTCAGCCATGTCTTGCATAAAATGAGCAGCTTTTCCCAGCGAGAACCACCTCGCAGCCAACTGGCCTAGCTCAGTTAAAACACCCCTGAAATTCCAATTGAACCAGATGAGTGAAACACAACTCTCTGACCTCTGAATTTACATGAGGCCGATCAACTCAAAGACCATCACCATATGGTCCATATCTGACCCCGTCGACCTTTTGAAAAACAGAACGAACGACCTCACCAGTGCCAGCTGCACTACTTACTCTCCAAATGTATTTCAGATGCGGCCGCATCTTCAACTCGAAGTGGAAAAATACTGTGTCCTTTTTATCTTACTGTCTCACACTTGGCAAATTTAAATCAGTTGAGCCAAGCCGCCCCTCCGTTACCTGCGCAGACTCCGCAAAGCCTAAATGGTACTGACCGTACTGTAACAACCATATATAGTACAAGTAATCCCCGAATCCTGGGGAGATTTTCGGGGCAGATAGATAGCTGCAGATGCCATGGCGGAAATGCCTGTTTTGAAGTGTGTTTTCTAATGCCTCCCGGCAAATATACACTCAGAGAAGAAAGACGGTCAGGGAATCGCCAGTAAAGGAAAGGAAAGGACAGCCCGGCAAGACAGTACAAGCATGAGAGCAGACAAAAAAAGGTTCACCCATGAAAAACGGTCTGCTACGCACACATTAAATAGAAAGTCGAAAAGACTGGAACTCTGTTCAAAAATCAATCACAGCAAACAACGCGGTCACTTCCTCGACGCGTTTCGTCTACCACCGCAGGTAGACTCATCAGGAGGCATAAAGCTGCGAAGTAGAACAGCCATCAGTAGGGGCCATACCAATGCCTTGCCCCTAATTCAGCTATCAACCGATACCAATCCTATCCCTAATCCTAGCATGAGAATAACCCCATCTGAAAGCCATATTGATGGTCCGAGAGCAGAGAATGTGTGAAATCCTGCCAAAAGAAGGCATGGAAGCCACCCAAACCGTCACGAAGAGATACGAAAGCAAGCCACCTGTCATATCAGCGTCTGGCAGAGTACCTGCACAATGCAACAGATCACAGACACTCAAGCAGATCACAAGCAAACAAACAGAGGCTCCTTTCGGGAGTGCTTACAGACGAGCCACGATCGCGTGGGTAATCAGCAGCGTCTTCCTCGGTCGAAACCCACTCCTGCGCCGGTGCCAGCGGAACACCTGTAGATGTGCTGGCATGAAGGAGACAGATGGCTCAGGCAGTGTCAGCAGAGCATCACTTACGATCAGCGAACGACGGAGCAGCGGAGCTGCTCCAAAGCAGCACACGGTCGAAGGAAGACGTCTGTGAAGTGGTGTTATATAACCGATCGTACAAGCACCCTGCAGACGCAGGCTCGGTAGATGTCCCGTCAACCGTCTCAGGTTCTGAAGAGCAACCTCAACAGAACTGGTCCCTCGCAGAATCGAAGGGACCAGCTAGAAAAGGTCCCAAGCCAAAAAAAAGGGAAAAGATACATTGTGCAGCCTGCAGACACTTCCCGGGTTTGTCCCCTAAGCATTCCCCGGGCCCATAAGAACTCGTAGTACGGCCTCTGCCAATCGTAAGTAGTGCCGTCGCCACGAACGAGGGTGGAACGTTACTAAATTTGAGAGAACGTACCTGACTTGAAATCATGCATAGTTCAGAAAAGAAAAACCTCCTGTTACAGCAAAAAAGCTGACCCTTTTGCAAGTCGGCGAAAAAAATAGTAACCATCTACCAAACCGATACGCGATAATTTAACAAGGTCCTAAGGGCCTACTATAAAAAACAGTACCCAAAAAAAACATTCATTTTACCAGGCCCTAAGGGCCTACTTGGCAAGGATGCCAAGCCCCGAATCGTCAGTACTTGGCCCAGCTATGGGCCGCAGGAAAAAAAATAGAGTAGAGACTTTTCTAGTCAGATGAATTTGGCCGCTCCTGTAGTGGGCCGTACGTCGATGGTCAAGATTAACCCCCATAAACGAGGAACTCAGATCAAACCGGGGTCTGGCCCCCTTGTGTCTGACCGTCGATGGTCAAGACCAACCTCCATAAAAGAGGAACTCAGATCATACAGGGGTCTCGCCACGGCGAGTGGCCAGAGGCCCAGAGCTGATTCCGGTTACTCCACAAGAACAACCAACAAATGCGAAGTACGCACGTAGGGTTTCTTTTTTTTGCCTTCTTTCATTGGGTTAGAAGCTCAGTGCAGCGGTCTGGAGTTGGCCATTTCTGCAGCTGGAGCCGTTCTAACGCCAATCATCTCCGCGGGGAAAAGGTCCCCAGTCTCTGTTGTGTCATGAGTCTCCGGGTTGTTTGTAGAGGATTCCCGGACTCTCTTGGACTGTTGTTCTGCTAATGGCAATTACCTATTTTTTGAAAAAAAAAAAAAAAAAAGAAAGAGCGGGCGTACTTACACACAAAAGGCGTACTCACAGACAAAAGAAAATACTGTGATTTTCCTTTTTTTTTCCTTTTATGTATCTGACGGTAATCCCGACCAGATTTCGTTCAGGACAGCTCTCTCCACTACTCTACGCGTGCAGAAAAGACGGAAAAAAAAATGGCGGTGTATTTTTTTCGCCATGTTCTTAGCGGAAGACTCACTCTCATTTCGCACATTTGGCGAGTCGTGGAGCGAGGCCGACGCGTTCCTGTAGCATTCAAGCATTCATTAGTGGGAGTCATCACGACGACAACCGGCGCCGAGTCCCGCTTAGCACGCTGATGCTTCATTTGTGGCCGTTGATCTTCCTAATCTACGGTCAGAATTTGAGAGTTGGCGGAAGTGAGTGACTTGCGGCCCCGTGACGTCACGTGTGCGACATCTACTTCCTTTTCACGAAGCTTCAGCAATATACAACAACAACAACAATACTCTCCCTTTTCCCGGCTTTTCTCGATTTATGCGTGTCATCCTTGATTGCGCAAAGGCCATAATTTATTTTATTTTATTTAAAAAAAAAAAAAAACGGGCCCAGTGCCAAGGGCCATGCTAATCTTCTCTCTGTCTCGTTCCAGTTTCGACCGATGATCGGAAGGACGCTCTCCTCCCTGCTTTTCAACGCTATCGTCTTCCCCCGAACATAACGCACCCTAAAAATTGATGTATACAAGCTACGTCTCCGGCCCGGTGCAGTCAACATGAGGGTGCGTTGTGTTCGGGAGAAGACGGTAGGCGACACGCCATGTATGCAGTCCGGCCATCTTTTCGACAATAATCACGTCCTTTTTTTTTCCCTCGCAAGGATAGCCCTTGTGTAAGCTCTCTATCCCGGGGCTAGGTCCCACTTGCACGAATTAAGAGATACTGACCGTAGATAGCAAAGATCAACGGCCCAAATCTCCTAATTTGCTTAAGTGGGACCTTGCCCCCGGCGGTGGTAAGAGAACCGTCGGAATTGAGGGCTTAAAGGGCCTCGCTGCACTACTCTTGAAGGGTGCAAAACGAGAGTGAATCTTCCTCTAGATCATGGAAAGATACAGCGACATGATTTTTGTCTTTTGTGCATTTCAAGAGTAGTGCAGCGAGGCCCAAAATCACGTCCTTGGAGTACGAGCATCTCGACCTGTCGGGCGAGGGCGTGAGAGAGTATGGATCGATGACCTGCGGCTGTATCCAATCATCATCATTCATCATCCTTTTTTTTTTTTTTTTTTTTTTTAGAGTAGGTGTAATGGAATAAGTGTGGTTTTGTTTGAGTCATCATTCATCATCCTATTGCTACCGTCTTCAGCCGAATAGAACAACGGTCAGTATGGCCGTATTTGGATTCAATTTCATCCCAGATGCAGCAATAACGACCGGGCGTTGTCTTCAGGTGATGACGGTAGCATATTGCAGCCTTCTGGCACCCATTGCAGTCCTCGCTGAGCAGACAGAAGCAGGGAGGGACAAGACACACACTAGGCCTACACACGAAGCTCCCTTTGGACCTCGTTCCACCGCCTCCTGCTCGCCAAACCAGTGTCGAGTGAATGAAAAAAAAAATCCCTTCGTCTTTGCGGTGAGTCGGGCAGACGGTTCCGTCGACTCGCCGCACCAGGGACTACCTACCTCTTGTCTTTCTTGTCGTCAGCCTTCACCCCGTGCGGGGGCTCATTCCCCTTTCGAGCTGCCATCACGGCCAGAGGCATGGCTCCGCCTCTGCGAACTTGACACTTGAGTGGCACACCGATTGGAGAAATCAGGAATGAAGCGAGTGCAAAGGGATTGGCGAAATGAAGACTGGCGAGTGATCAAGGATTGGCGAGTTTCCCTGGGTGCAAGGAGGAAACGGTGGAGGGCCCTCCCACCCTTCGGACCCATCCGCGGAAAAGCCCTTCGGTGGACAGTGTCCAATTACAAGCCGGCAATTGTCGACTGATGACCGCACAGTTTGACGAGTGAGGGCCTGGTTGCACTACTCTCCTCCATGATCCGCCAAGTTCGCGAGAAGGCGCCAAGTTGCACTTTACTCGCCAAACTTGGCCAATGAAAAATGCGTCAGCAAAAAAAAAAAAAAAAAAAGAGCGTCAGCCGGACTGCTCGCCACACGGTCGGCACAAGTTGCGGCCAGTGGGCCTCGCTGCACTAATCTCGAAATGTGCAAAACGACAGTGAATCTTCGCTAGAAACATGGAGAGATACGCCGCCATAATTTTGGTCTTTTGTGCATGTCGAGAGTAGTGCAGCTATGCCCAGTGTTTACGGTTTCCCCGCCTGTGCACGGCGGTTTGTGGAGAAGGAGCTTGTGAAGGAGGAGCTCTCCACAAAACAAGTTTGGGCCTACCGTAGTTGCAGTACTGGCGCCATCGGCCACAGTTCGTGGCGGATGGATCGGTGGAGAATGAAAAAGTGGCGGATGGGTGGAGAGTGAAAAAAGTGGCGGATGGGTGGAGAGTGAAAAAAGTGAGGGATTTCAGGTCACACTACCTACCTACCACTACTAATTGTAGGCATACGGGGAAATCGAGAGTGAAAAAAGTGCGGGATGGGTGCAGAGTGAAAGAAAAAACTGAGAATCGTGTCGAACTGGAGGCCTGGTTGCACTTATTCGCCACAATATTTCTTCTACGGAAAAGTTAGAAAAATTTGTCTGCCTGATCTCGACTCGTGAAGCCGTGCACTCTTCCAGAAAGTTGTTTTGTGGAGAGGTCCGAAGACCACCACCCTCCACAAACAGACCGCCGTGCACAGGCGGGGGAAACGGACAACACTCGCCACAATTTTGTGGCGAGCAGTCTGACATATTTTTCATTCCCCAGGTTTGATTTGGCGAGTAAGTGCTGGCGAGTAAGTGCCGGACAGGCACCTACTTGCCAAAACAGAAAAACAGAAAAGATTTCGAACCATGGCACCCGTCCACCGCTCCTCCATGTTCCACAACTCTGGGCCTAGTTGCACTACTCGCCATTCGTCACACTTCATGGCGGATGCGTGGAGAGTGAAAAAACTAAAACTGAGAATCGTGTCGAAGGGCCTAGTTGTACTACTCGCCATCCGTCACATTTCGTGGCGGATGCGCGGAGAGTGAAAAAACTGAGAATGGTGTCGAACTCGAGGCCTTGTTGCACTTAATCGCCACTACATTTCTTCTACAGAAAAGGTAAGAAATTTTGTCTAACTGATGTCTACTCGTGAAGCCCTGCACTCTCCAGAAAGTTGTTTTGTGGAGAGGTCCGAGGACAACCCTCCACAAACCGCCCTGCACAGGCGGGGAAGCCGAATTCACTCTCCCCAACTTGTGTGGACCGTGTGGGGAGCCGTCTGACACATTTTGCATTCGCCAAGTTTGGCGAGTAAGTGCAACCAACTTGTGCAAATAGGGCCTTAATAGCCAGCACCCGAGAGTGAGTAAGTGCAACCAACTTGTGCAAATAGGCCCTTAATAGCCAGCACCGGAGAGTGAAAGGAGGCGCCGCCTACTCGCCAAACTTTCCGTATGGCGAGTAGTGCAACTAGGCCCTCTGTCTTCAAGTTGTTGCACAACTCGCTATTCACCAAAACCCACGGCGAGTAGTATGGATGGAAAACGAAAAGACTCCATTTTTTTTTGTGGTGAGTAGTGCGGGAGGTTTTAGGGTCTGGTTGCACTACTCGCCATCCGCCAACATTTTCGAATGCATCGGGACAGTTTTCCTGTCGATGGCCATTCCACATGTTGGCGGAGAACGAGTAGTGCAACTACTGTAGGCCCTTACACTCTCGCCGCGCCGCGTTTCCATTCTCCTCCCGGATGTCAAAATTCCAGGAAACAGTTTCAAGCGTCTCTTGTCATGGCATTGCTGGAGCGGTCGTTCTCCTCGCGGACGCCATTGGAGGAAAAAGGGCTTCAAGTTGGTGGGACCTTGCCCCCGTGCAGTGAACTCGCCACAGCTGTTGGTGGATGCCGACCAACGGCCAGAATCTCTTAATCCGTGCAAGTGGGACCTTGCCCCAGTGCAGAGTACTCGCCACAGCTGTTGGTGGATGTCGAGCAGGGGAAGGAGACCCTCGGACTCGCCGACGTCTCACAAGCACGGTAGTTGCAGACGAGCGTACCTTCCCTCACGGTGGCGCCTCTCGCACCATATCCAACTAAGGATCGCGTCGAACATCATCCTCCACATGATACTCATGGGCTGCATCGCGCAAGAACTCCGTTGCCGGTGAATGACAACGGTTCGCGGAGCGGTAAACAGTTCTCGCACTACTTCAGCCATAGTCGGCCGCCTAATTGGTGCCCTATTTACGCACCGTAAGGCCATAGCGGCCATGGAGTACACCTGCTGGTAGTCGTAATCCTGCCCGAGTCGTCTGTCCACAAGTTGCTCTGCTACCTGATATCTAATTAGCTGCTCCATCATCTCGTCCTCAACCTCCTCCTCCTCCTGAGGCTGTCCTCTGCGATGGACAAGGTTCAGCACCCGCGCCTCCGCTTCTGGCGGACCTTCCCCGGTGAGGATCTCCAGTAACAAGACCCCATAACTGTAGACGTCAACCTTGGGAGTTGAGCGCAGGTCCGGCGGCGTTGGTTCCTCCCGTAGCTCAGGGGCTGTGTATCCATCGCCCTCGGGAGCATCTCTCGGCCGAGCGCATCCCCGCGCGTTCGTCAAGACCGACAGACCGAAGTCTGCAACTTTTGGGCAGAAATTGTTGAGCAGCAGGATGTTCGACGGCCTGATGTCGTGATGCACAAGGGCGAACTCGCTGCGCGCCGAGCTGTGGAGGTAATTCAACGCATCCGCGATCCCACGTGCTATGCGCACTCTTGTCGGCCAGTCGAGCGTCGTCAAACCATCCGGTCCGTGCAGATGGCGATGGAGAGTCCCGTTCCGTACGTACTGGCTGACAAGGTAATAGTCCTCCCCCTCGTGGCAGTACCCAATTAGCTGAACGACGTTCCTGTGAGATATTTGACCGAGGGCGCGAAGCTCATTCTCGAACTCCCTCTGATTAGAAAGCCGGTGGCTTCTGAGCTTCTTGACCGCCACCTCCTGTCTTCTCCTACTGTCCCGGTCGACCCGAAGCACCGCCTTGTAAACGTCCGCGCTACTTCCCTCCCCGATTCGATCTGCCAGGTTTGCCGTCCCCGCCATTATCTCCGTTAATCTATACTTAATCAAACGGTCATAGGTGTAGGGGGGGTGGTTCTTATCTTGGCACGGGGCTCCAGTACACACACCGGTCGCCCGTCGAAACCAACCCCATGGCAAACACCACCAACAACAACAGATCGCCATCGCAGAAGCAATCGTAATCACGAAAATGAGAAATACTCCAAGCTCTCTGCCTCCCCCAGATTCTGCCGAGACTACCGGACCAGAGGTGAACGTGCAAGATGTGGCAGACGCATTAAGACACTCGGCACAACCGAGCGAATCCCGGTCAATCAACGTCATGCCTGTTATGCTCTCGCTGACTTCGATGTGTATAGGGCGACGAAGCTCACCGCTCCCAGACCCGCTACCAGCACTACCAGCGGGGCACAGGTGCACAGCCAACGACCGGTCCTTGCCGACCGAATTGACCACGACTTCAGTCTCGTTGAAATCTAGGGGAACTGTCCTTTTCTCGCCATGATCCTCCTTCGAGTCCACTGCTGCTGCTGCGAACCTCACGCCGCAGATTCGCACGTGCTGGAACGGATTGTCCCACCTACCGGTAGTTCCAGGCTGTCCCCCTCTTGCTCTCTCTGTCGACGACCATGAAAAAGATGAAGAAGAACGCGGCGGCGGGAGCGACCCGGAGTCTATGAAGAGCGTAGACCGGGCGCCGCCGTTGTCTACATCCTGGAGGAAAGTGCAGTTGATGAGAGCGACTACCGTGTCCCACCTCCGACTGGGCCAAGCAGGAGAGAGAGAGGGGGAGGGAAAGGCAGAAGAAGAGGAAGATGGCAGATCATCGGCGAGGAACCTCAAATACACTGCTCCGGGTTGGAAGGCCCCGGCTTGTGGAACATAACCAAATGTGCAGTTGAGGAAAGTCAACCTCTTCTCTTCGAAGAAACCAGCAGCTGTCACCATCACGGCATGAACACCCATTACAGCGGCGGCCGATGAAGAGAAGACGCAGTGCGAGATACACGCCGTCGTTGGCAGACTGGCAAACACCACACGCCCATCATGGTGTTGTCCCTCCGCGTTCTCGCCAAATCTGCACCCACCCATGACAACCCTCGTTGGTCGATCTGTATCCCCCATCGAGGGAGGGGGGGGGGGGTACTTGAACTCCATTTCAGTACCTCGACCGAAGCTGCAGTCCTGGAACTCGACGTTGGCTTGAACAAACAGGAAACGCACGTTCACGACTTCCAAGTTGTACAGATGGAACGATCCCGATGCCGACCCGGATGTCCCATTGTGACATATCACCGGGGCCTCGGCACTCCCACCACCATCTACAACGCATCGACGAGAACGGCAGTCGCCTTTCACTGTAAAATGGACGGCAGGATCGATAAGCACAGAATCCGATGGTGGGGCCTCGGCCAAGGACAAGTCGCTTAAAATGACAATGGACACGCTGGATGCCGTCGCGTGAGTAGTCGACATGGCCTCCAACAGCGATCGTGCGTCAGTCACGTTGACCACCTTCGTCCCTGTCGACGACGATTGGCTTCTACCTCGCTCTCCAGCAGGAGCAGGAGCTTGCTGACTTGGAAACGAGGAACTTGGGCTGTTGATTGCCAAGGAGGTAGGTGCGCCCCCCTTCCCTGGGGCCAAAACTTGGGCTTGTCCCCCATCCCCACTCCAATCGCCGGAGTGTTTAGATTCGACCTGTCCTTCGAAGGACGATGAGCTCAGAATCGCCAATCCAAGTAAGCAAACCAAGGTAGAGAACTGCGCAGTCTGGACCTTAGGCCCTGTTATCCGCCCTAGGAATGCCATGAGGAGCACCGCCTCACTCACCGAAGCCTTTTCCCAAATTTCCCCCGGCCCCTATCTGTCTCTCCCTCTCTCTCTGCCTCTGTTCCTGCCTCTACTTCTGTTTCTGTCTCCGTCTCTCCTCCCCCCACCCTTCCTTCCACCCTCCCCTCCTCCCTTCCCCTTGCCCAATTCCCTCCCTCCCCTCCTCCGTGCCCGACAGTCACTCACTCTTCACTCCTTCCATCCCCCCGCGCTGTTCTGCCCCTCCCCGCTCTCTCTTCCCTTCCTCCCGCCTCTCTCTCTCTCTCTCTCTCTCTCTCTCTCTCTCTCTCTCTCTCTCTCTCTCACACACACACACACACACACACACACACACACACACACNCACACACACACACACACACACACACACACACACACACACACACACATCTAATCTAATCTAATATACTGTACGATACTACAGTATAATATATCTCTGTATCTACCTGTCTATATCTTATCTGTCTTGCTGTGGACCGGCTTGTTCCCTCTCCGATTCGTCTGTTCCCCCATCTCCCATGCTATGTTGTCTCTTTCCCACTCTCCCACTCTCCCACTTTACTGTCCCTGCGTATTTACATACACTTTTGGAATGTTTTACGTCCTACAAAGTGCCTCCGCAGTCAGGGCGGAACAAGGCCGTTGCGATGGTGCTCGGTAGGGTGCTGGATCTATCCACCCCCTCTCCTTCGCTAGTGAGACTCTCACGCCCGTCAGCAGGTGGTTCCCTCATCAGGAACGGCCTCTGTCGGTGCCCTAATCCTTTTCGAAAGACCCCCTTGGTATGCAGTGGTCAAATATAGAAGTGACGAATAAGGGGGGGGAAAGAACAGCGATATTCACCCTGGCGGACTTCGAACGCTATAAACATAATATAAATAATATTATGTAATCCATCTCTCTCTCTCTCTCTCTCTCTCTCTCTCTCTCTCTCTCTCTCTGTGTGTCTATCTGTCTATCTATCTATCTATCTGTCTGTCTGTCTGTCTGTCTGTCTTTCTGTCTGTCTGTCTGTCTCTGTCTGTCTTGCTGTGGAGCTGCTTGTTCCATCTCCGATCCGACTGTTCCCCTATCTCCCATGCTCTGTTGTCTCTTTCCCACTTTACCAATCTATTCTCCCCGCGTATTTCTTTTTTGGGGTAACTTCGGCGCAGTCACGAAAACAGTTTGAAATTGCACTTCAGGCAATCCTGCGAACACAACACACCCCCACGTGACCCCACCTGTCCCGAATCGTTGGTTACATACATTCAGCATTACCGGCCCTTTTGCCTCAAATGCAATTACAAACTCAAACCCTAACTGGACCGTAGTTTTCTCTTCTTTTTTTTTTTCTTTTTTTTTTTTTTTTTGACTCCCCGCGTATTTCCATACACTTCCGGCATACTCACACTGGGACGTTTTTACTTATTTGGGGACGGAATTGCGGCCACATGCATCCAGGTGCGGCCGTATTACATTATACGGTCAGATCCATTTAAGATCGTGCTCGTGTGAGTACGCTCTCAGTGTGCATGGTGTTAGGCAGGATGCTGATCTATCTACGGCCTCCTCTTCTCACAAGTGAGGGCACGCTCACACTAGGTACCCAAATTCCCAAAAAATGGGAAAATGGGAACGGCCGTTTTGAGGAAATGGGGCCCTGGCCGGTCACACTGTGCTCCCAAAACGCTAACGACAAGGTCGCTACATCATACTCTGCGAGGTGGTTGTGGAGGGCGCCGGTCACACGGTGGATACCTCAAATGGCAAATGCAATTATTCGTTTTGTCAATTGATAGGCCGCTGATATCGTGGGGTTCCATTTTTCTCCAATACTGCACGATAATTCGGAAAAAGATTTGAGAATTTGTGGTAACCTCCAGAGGTGACCACAAATTTCCGGAGGTCACCGCAAATTCCCTCCCCCCGCGGCTTCGCAGGCCGCTGACAAATGGTCACCCCTTTTGAGAATTTGGGCAGATGTTCACCATGTGTGACTGTCCGGGAACTCCTTTTTGGGGGGGAAATGGGGATTTGGTACCTAGTGTGAGCGTGCCCTGAGACTCTCACGCCTCTCAGCAGGGGGTTTCCCTCATTGGGATGGCCCCTGTGGATGTTCTACTCCTCTTCGAAAGACCTGCTTGATATGCAGATGCCTAAGTAGTAAGAAGAAAAAAGGGGCAGCTTTGTTTAGGTCACTTTTGAGTTTGAAAGTGCTATGAAAGTACTGCGGCTGCGGTGTCAGGCCGGGTGGCATAACTACAGGGCAGACCGGAAAGGGGGGAAAAAAAGGGAAAGGCCCAACGGATCGTTTCCTACCCGAATTGCAATTTCGGACTCCATGGCACGTGGGTGCTTTCTTCGGGGGAGCGTTTTTTTTTTTTTTGTGTTGGTTTTTAGTACCTCTGCCAGTGCTGGGAAATTACAAGTTTTAGGGTCTGACCCCACTGCTCGGCTTCCTGGAAATTTCTTTCCAGGCCGGTGTGTTTTTTTTTTTTTTTTTTTTTAAAGGCCGGTGTGTTAACTGGGGAATGAAACGTATTGCAGCAGATGAGTCTGAACGTTTTCTTGGGGTCCAAGTTTCCCTTCTGTCATGCAGTGTGGATCAGGAGGATATACTTCTCCAACGGACTCTGCAACGCGTAGCAACGTGGGGGAAGGCCGTGCACCTTTCATTATACGGAAGAGCCCTGGTGATTAACTGCGCCCTTTTCTCTCTCCTGTGGTTCGTGGCTGCCGTTAGGCCGTTGGGTAAACATTTATGTGCTTTAATCAGAAGAAGGGCCGCTCGTTTCATCTGGAAGCCCTTTGCCTCTGAGGATGAGGGCTTTCTGTCGAAGGTAGCTTGGACTTATTGGGTTTTCCCAAGGAGGAAGGAGGGTTGGGTCTTATCGACCCAAGAAGGAGAAGTATTGCTATGCTAGCTAAATGGGTGATCAAAGCAGTCTGCTGTCCAGAGGACACGAATTGGGTAGCTCTTGCTGAGGAAATCTTAGCATCAGAATGGAATCTTACACGCCCCTGAGACATTTGGACATGTTTTCTTCTCTGTTCTTACCAGAACCGACGCATCAAGTCTGAGTTTTGGAGAGCTGTTATGTATGCGTGGAAGCTACTGAAGCCAAATGCTTGGGTAGTTCCCTCTACAAAGACTGAAGTGTTGCTCCAGCCCTTATTTGAAAATCCTGCAATTAGGAAGCCAGATGATAACTGGTTTGCTGCTGACTCCTCCCAAAACAGCTTCGGCAGAAGCTGGATCGAACGTGGAGTGCTCAGGATCGGTGATCTATGGAACAGTCTGGWAGGTCAGTGGTACTCACCAGGAGCCCTGAGGRAAGTYTTGGGTCCTCTCTGGTATGTGGAAGAAAGGTTGGTAGAATTAATTGACGCGATCCCATATCAATGGAAACTTCTCCTGGGTCCGGAAGGTATCGACCCCCCCCGGGACCTGGTATGTTTCCCCTTCGATTGACTCTACCCCTACCTTTTGGAAACTAGTGAGTATTGATCTCACAGGTCGCAGAGAATTCCAAGGATGGGAAGGTCTCTGTCCCTCACGACCGCGTAAACTGATCCAACTGGAGGACGCCCCTCACCCGCCCTTGGACGTGACACTGTCCCAAATCAGGGTGTGGGAATCTTGCAATGAGGAAGGAGAGTGGGCCTGTGAAGCGTTTGCACAAGGAACCGCCTTAACAAAGATCAGACTGGATCCGAAGCTGTGTGGATGGAAGGGCGAAGGGTGTGGAGGTGAAGACCTCCCCCTTGTGTGTTACACGATACAGCAAGGGTACAAATCTCTGATGATAAACTTGGCCCGGACTCCCAAAGACGTTGCAGTAACTAGATGGAGTCAGATTTTAGACTGGGAAAGTCAAAAGGTGGAGAGGGCAGTCCTAAGATGCTGGTCACAATTATCTCAGATTCCGTGCCTCAGGTTAGCTGTTAACCTGTGGCTGCTATCACTGCTGGAGACACCCTCTGCTGTTAATTTAGTTCATAGGGGTTTGAATGTAGATATGACATGCAGAAGGTATTGTTGGGCTTTTGAGTCTACCCCGCATCTTTGGTTTGATTGCCCGGCCTCAAGTCGAATTTGGAAGTGGTGGAGTGTTTTTTGGGACTCGATTACTGCAGGGAAAGCTATGACGTGGGATCGTGAGTGGGTTCTGGTAGGAGGGATTACAGACAACTTGGAGTTGGGCAAAGGGTGGGGCTATGTCGCTCAGGTGGTGAGAGCGGTTGGCTATGATGTCATCTGGAGAGAGAGAAACCTGCGGGTATTCGAAGGGCGGGAATTGACCAACAAGGAGATACGAACAAGTTTCAAAACCTCTCTGCGACGGTCTATTCAGGCGGATTGGAAAAGGAAAGGTATTAAGGGTTCATCAGGTTGGTTTGGAGACACTTGGGGTATTGGTGGAAAGCTGGCAAAATTGGAGGGAAATAGCCTGCGACTGTCGGACTGGTTCTGGTCGTAGGTAGCTCTAGAGCTTGAACCTGGTTGCTCGGTTCAAATTTCCGCAGGAGGAAGGCAGCAGGTTGGAAAAGGATTGGGAGCAATAAGGGGTCTCTGTTGGTCCGGGGGGTCCAATCCTGCCGCGTTAGGCAGCTGGAGGGTAGGTAGGAGTAGTGGTCTGTTTCTTGGGGTCTGACACCTTATTTGGTAGGGTTGTTTTTTAGGTGGGGTTTGACACTTTTTTTTTTGGAGTGGTTTTAGGACAGCGGCCCCGATTTGGTCAGTTCTGTTCCTAGACTAGCCTACTCCCTTGGTGAGCTCTGGCTCTTAAGCTAAACTGGCTGATGCTGCCAGGATAACTTCCGGGTTGAATTGTGAGGTCCCTGGCCTCCTTGTTTGGTTATAATTGAAGGGCTGAACCCAATTAAAAAAAAAAAAAAAAAAAGATTCCACTCCAACGCCTGAAGAGAGAACAGGACCGACAACATACCCACAGACCCAACATCAGTTTTCAATCTCACCTGGGCAGGTGACCGGCAACGGCACGGAAAAAAATGGTCGTTGCTGCATCCGGAGCCTCCTTGTGTTTGGGACGTCGCACTGGGACTCCGCAC